CTACCCTCTAAAAGTAAGAGATGCTCCCTCTGCCATCCTGAACTATAGCTTTCCACCCAGACAGAGCCCCCCATCTCAGGAGGAGAAACAGAACTCCCTGATAACAACTACCCACCCTCCTACTTATCAGTAGGACCCCTGGGAACTACTTCACCCAGGACTATCTATAAACTTATAAATTCCTGTGCCCTTTGGACACTGGGCCCCAAATAATTTCTACAAGCAGCTTATTGTAGTGGTTAGGAGTGCAGCCTTCTCAATTTTTCAGTAAATAAAATTTGTAAGGGAGAAAAAAAGGCAAGAGAGAGATGGAGGGGAAATCTCTACTTTAAAAACACCTAAGAGACAAACAAATCTCGATGGATGGACTTTATTTGGATCCTGATTCAAACAATGCATTTACAACGTAAACCAGACAAAGACAGTACAGAAAGTAGAAAGCTATAGAGCACTATCTCTCAAGAATATGGTTGTGAAAACTATCAACAAAATATTAATCAAATACAGTAATGTGTAAAAAGAATGATACACCAGAACCAAGTGGGGCTTATTCCCAGGAAAGCAACACTGGCTCAGTATTAACAACAACAACAACAACAACAAAACATAATCCACTATATTATAGTGTAAAGATGATCATAACAATTGATGCAGAATAAAACATTTGATAGACTTCAGTATCCATGCAAGATAAAAACTCTGAGAAACCTAGGAATAGAAGGGAACTTCCTCAACCCGATAAAGGGCAGCTACAAAACACACACTTATAGCTAACATCACACTTCCTGGTGAAAAACTGAATGCTTTCTCCCTTAAATGGGAATGAGGCAGTACTCGTACTGGAAGTACTAGTTTGTGCAACAAGGCAAGTCAAAGAAAAGGGATATGGACTGGAAAGGAAAAAATTAAACTATTCCTATTCACAGATGACATGATTGTCTGTATAGAAAATTCCAAGAAATCTACCAAAAACAAACAAAATAAACCTCTTAGGGGCGCCTGGGTGGCGCAGTCGGTTAAGCGTCC